TTTTTAAAAAATTATTTTTTGAGGAACGATCATAGTTTCAAACCAAAAATCAAATATGGTTAGATGCGCAATAAAATTCTCTATCGAACCTGCTATTCAGCTTTTTGATACTTTCAGATTTTTAAATTCGACAGGGTCCTTTAGAGAGTAGATAGAACAGTTTTAAGTCAGTGTCAAAGAGTCGCTATTTTCTCTTATTCTATTGATAGTCATGTAAAGTAGGCGTCGTTTATTACACGGTTTTATTAGAAAACATCAGACAGAAGTTCTAAAAAGGCTGAATTCGTCGTCCGTTGATGAAGACTGATTGGAGTAAACATGGTGTAGAAATATAAAGGACGGAAAGACAATACGGCCGGCGTCTTTTCCTTACACTATAAAACACTTATTCACTTCATATTTGTTCTCTTTAGACTGCTCACTTCCGTTTTCATCATTAATGGTACGTATGACATTGCTTTGTATTTATTATTAAGATAATAAATCACTATAAATTAAATCATTATAAGAAGAAAGTCGATTATTTAACATTGGTAAACAAAGCATTATTGAAAAAGCCAGTGTTAAAAATGCCATTTTTCCGCTGTTTCGTTAAAGGTCTCATAAATGACTTTTAGTAGCTTGTTAACAGCCATTTTGCTGTAACAGTTATTTGAAAAAGTATCGAGAGTCAAATGTCTAAGCGAAAACGAGCATAATTAGTGCTCTCATCTAGATTACTATTTTTCTAACGATGGAAAAAATGAATTTTGATAAAGGTTCGTAGTTTCTATTCCATTGGTTGATTCATCACTTTGTTTTATCAAATATAAGGGCATCCAGCATATAATGATATTCTTCTTCTAGGAAATATCAACATTAGAATCAAGTCTACCAAATGAATTGTTTGACTTCATTTTTCTCTATTTAAAATCTATTGATATTATTTATTCATTTTTCAATTTAAATCATCGCTTTAATAATCTTATTTATCCATTTTTATGCGCAATAGATTTATCCAATGTCGATGAATGTACGTTGAAGAAGTATTGTCGAACAATTTTACCAAAAATTCATCATTATATCAAAGCAATTAGAGTTGATGATAAAAACATTAACGCTGTTTTTCCATTATTTTTATACTCTAAAATATATCCGAATCTTGAATCAGTTTTTATAACGGAAGCTAAAACGGATGGCAAACATTTATTATATTTAAAATTGTTTAAACAATTATTAAATTTAAAAATTTATTTTGATACAGAACAACATAATGAAACTGTATTAATTGAATCATGTTCAAATCTATTTCAATCTGGTTGTCGATTACAAACATTAGTTTTTGATAATGTTTATGTACCCATCAATACTCATATCATTGAACGATGTTTTTCTATTAGAAAATTAACAATAAAAGTACATTGTTGCGATAATGTGTATGTTCTATTAAACAACTTACCTTCAATCGAATATGTAACTATTGACATACCCTATATTCGACAACAAGAGCAGCAGCCAGAACAAGAACAAAATGGCGTCCAATTTAATAATAATAATAAAAGTGTTCCCTCGACATTATCAAAATTAAGATATTTTGTATTCTCTTCCATGTCTGTTGTTAATTATGATTATTTAGAACTGTTATTATCTCACTGTTGCTTTAATCTGGAACACTTATCATTGGATTTATGTATTGATCAATTTATTGATGGTGAACGTTTCGAAAAGAAGTTATTATCAAAACTAACAAAATTGGAAGTATTTCATTTTTGTTTTCTGATTCCAGCTGTCGATAACAAATTAAACATAGACGATTATATCCAAACATTCAAATCGACTTATTGGATTAATAATAATCATTCGATCTTATGTTTTAATCAATCGCTGCTCAATCAGTATTATTGTGTATTTTCATTACCCTATGTGTTCCATACGTTCCCTTGTTTTTCAAATGATCTAATTAATTATCGAACAAATGTCAATGATGACAGTTTGTTATACAGTAAACAAAACAAAGCGATAGAAATTTCTTTATATGATACTGTTCCGTATACTTTAGAATTATTCCAGATTATCCAAAAATCATTTTTAAGAGCAAGTGAACTAATTTTTGTAGACGCTCCTGTTCGTTGTTTAAGTGATAATTTACTGAATAATGAATTGATGATGGAAAACATCGTCTCAGTGACCTTTCTATTCGATCAATTAGAATTTGAACATTTCAGACGGCTATTATTAATGACACCAAACATTCTAAGGTTACGCATACCACAGAGGTTATTGTTGGATGTATTGAGAAATTCAAAAGACTCTTCTTTTCAACAATTACGATCAATATGTAATCGGATAAGATATGTCGGTATTGGGAGTCGTTCACTTGAATTCGATGTTTTAATGTATTTTCGTATAGCACGGTTATTTCCAAAGGCTAAGTTTTCAGGATTGAGATAAACGTTCAATTGGACTTATTTCCATTACATTCATTGTGATCATCACAGCTTATATTTTCTATGTACATATTATGTGAAAGCTTTTACTACTAGTTGTGCCTGAAAATGACTGGTGTAAGGTCGAAATATCACATGAACTAAAACATAATATTAGGCTAGAGAATTTAAGCCGCACTAATCACACATTCGGAAGGTTTGAAAGTGTGTCAGACTTGGGCAGAATTGTTCCCTCTATAAGATGCGATAAATATAATACAAGTTGGGCAAAACCACAACAGAGCTTCCGAATTTGGTTTTATTTAAAATTTGTAAATTTTCGGTAATATCAAATTTTTCACTTCATTTTTGAGTTTTCACTTTGAGTATTTATCTACTGATAAAACCACGAAACCCAGTTTGCAATTTTTGATAGGCAGGTGGACATATGCTGTAGAGGTGATCGGCAGGTATAAGCTGCGATGATCACAACGAGATGGCAGTGCTTCATTAATACAGCGAATAATACAGTGTTCACAATACATTATTTTTAACAATTTTTAACAGTAACAAGTGTCAGTTCGTCATCTTAGCAAGTCGTCTGCAAGCACGAGTGCCATGTAGTTCTGTGTCTAACTGAAATGTAAAGACATCGCAGATTCCATGATACAGAATAAGCGCAATACATGAACAAAATATGAAACGAACAGTATATATACACAAACTTAGGACGAGACGAGACGGTTTTAAAACGATCACGAAAAAGCTGAGAACGTTCTAGAATGGAGAATTCCTTGTAAGATCTTATTCAGACCTTGAAGAAATTCTTAATAAGAATCTCTTTAGACTAGCGTCTTTCATCAAACGTTCCGCCAAAGGCAAAGTAGTTTTTGTCGTAAGTGAGCAATTTCTGCTTTTAGAGTAAGAAAAGAAAATATTTTTTCTATGGTTGTTAAATAAACTCTTTATTTGTCATCTGTTTAATCTCACGTCTATATGCCTGGGTTTTTTTGTATTCGAATGTCTTTGTTCTGCAAAGACAAAAAGATTTATTAATAAAACACAATAAATTAAAAAAGAATAAATTTTTTCTGTTAAAAAAAGAATAATAATAATCAAACAGAAAATGACGTGTCACATTTTGTCTTTCTGTCAGGGCGAAAATTTGCTTTACAATGCGTATATAAAAAACGCATCATTCAATACAGCTACATTTGTACACGTTATTCTATTTTATTTCAACTTGTCAGCTAGAAATCAGACGACTGTTTCGAAGTTTTAACTGCAGTACGATCATGATTGTTCTGCCGCTCCAATAGCTTTCCATAACCAGTGCTTTATGAGGTATAATAACGAATTCTTCGATGGTGATTGCTGTTGCTCCGGTTTGATTTCTCAATGTTGTTATCGAAAATTGTCGTGAGATGGAGGACTTGTTTGTATCAGTCAGAAGTAAAAAGTAAGCCTGTTACAATATCAATACTTACCATTCACATTCATCTCAAAATGAATGGTAGCATGCAATCAATTCATGTTTGGAATGGAAACAACCATTCATATTCACGAGAAGAAAAAAATTTTCTTCAAGAGAAAAGATTAGCATTCATTTCATAAAAATGAATGTGAATGGTTGTTTCCATTCCAAACAAATGAATTGTTTGTATTATGCTACCATTCATTTTGAGATGAATGTGAATGGTTGTTTCCATTCCAAACAAATGAATTGTTTGTATTATGCTACCATTCATTTTGAGATGAATGTGAATGGTTCTAACATTCACATTCATATATATGGAACTGATATTGTGTTAGTTAGTAGTAAAAAGAACGTAAGGAATAATGTACGAAGAACAAATGGCTGTAGATGGTATTACTTCACTAAACCACATATTAGTTGTTTACTGCCATTCACATTAGTCATTTCAAAATCTAAAAATGTGGCATTATGGTCACTAATGTTTTCTTTGTTTAACGTCAATTATGGTGAAAATAGATTCTTTTGATGATAATTGAATTTATTATCAGAAGTTATTGTGAGAAGGTTATCGATATACAGAAATGTGTTGTTTAGTGATTGACACGAGGAGTAAAGTTCCTTTGTATTTTTATCTAGAAACTTAAATTCTGATTTATACAGAAACAAGATTAGCTAAATATGGTCAAGGATCTGTACCCATTGGCATTCCAGTTATCTGTCCAGCAGCAATATTGCCAAAAGCAAAACAACAATTTTCAGCTAAACACTTGATCGTTTCTCCAAAGGACTCTCGTACCCACTATATTGGATTTACTCTATATACTCAGTATTTGGCTTTATCAGACTATGGAGCCGGAGTTGCTCTACTCGCTTCCTCGAATATCTTTAACGTATGACCTCTAATCGAAATGTAATGATGTTAGGTAATAGACCGTGTGAAGCCGTTTTCTGCACAAACCGTCAACTGGAGCACATTATGATCTATCATAATAGTTCATTTCAATCACAAGAACGTTGGTCACAAGTAAGAGACCGATCGAATACGTACATTGGTTTTCATAGCACGAGTCCTGAAGCCTGTGTTAATATTGCCCATAGTGATATGCGTATCAGCCGTACGCCACCGCAGATGTTAGGCTATGGAATTTATTTTGCTCGTTCAATTGAAAATACCGGGGCAAAGCACGTTTTGGTGGCGCTATGATTTGTGCTGAAATTCGAATGGGTAAAGTGTTAGAATTGAAGTTAGGTGACTTACATCAGGTACAAGATTCAGATGCTTGGCATGCGAAGTATGACACAGTTTATTATAGACACTTGAACGAGGAACGAGATGAATTCTGTATAAAAAGTTCTTCGGAAATATTAAAATGGGTGATGGTGGTCGATGAACAGTTTGACACTAAAGTCAAAAGATACGAACTAGGCACAGAATTTGATCATACGCGGCGTGGATGCATATAGAAAGAAAAAACCTTTCCCATTTAGCTAGTAGTTGCACAATATGATCATATTATCACGATCCTTTTATTTCAATCACATTGGTTTTACTTTCGCTAAAATTGTTTGTTGAGAAAAGGTTGATAAACCGGAATAATATGCGTACGAAGAACTCAACTAAACGACTCGAAACATGTTTCTTATAGGTTTTCGACAATGCTCTTTCCAGTGGCATCATTTTTAAATATTGAGAAAGTTTTCTGAAAGGTTTTCCATAGACTGGATCTCTGGAAAACTCCTTAGAAAACTTTTTCAAAACCCAACTCTCATGGCATTAGAAAGAGGATCATGAAAAACCTATAAAAAAATGGTTCATGAAATTTTAGTTCACTCATAAAGCTAAAGTCCGCCTGCTCTAGCAAAAAATGCCCACTGTGCGAAGTCGTGAAGATTTCTGTTGACTTGTGGTCAATAAAGATTTGTTTTTCGGAGTGATTCTCTACTTGCTATGCTATATATTTCTTTATTATAATAGAATAAGAACAGATAGAATTGTCTCCGGGATAATCTAAGACGACGGGTGACTATCACAGTCGAATCATAAGCGCTCGTGATTCTCGGAACTATGCAAGTCTCACAAGACAGCATCCTCAAAAAAACTTTTGTTTCGATTTCGGACTTGACAAAGCTTTGCCATCGACGGACTCACAATAATATTACCTCAATGTTCATAAATGCGAGATCGTTGGCTGCTATACTGCGTTACGAATAATCGCTTTGCAAGATGTTCGATTAAGCATGGACGACACTATTATCCATTTCAAAAATAAATGATTCCTGAATATTTTTTTAATAACTTTTGATAGAAACTAGATAGAGACTTGCAGTTTTCACTATTGGAAAGAAGAGATCAAGACGCATCGAATGCTTAAGAGAGCCTGCATCAGAACATCGAGTATTGCCATTAAGTGAAACTTCTTGACCTATACTTTTTATTACATATTCGGATTCGGCACATCAAACTGTGGTTATGAAAAAAGTTTTAGAGAGGTCTGCCCAAATTTGACCGAGTTATGGGCATCTTAATTGGAGCGAGTCAAGGAAATCTTCAAAAAGTGACCTTTCTGATAATTCGCTCATAACTTCGTCACATTTTGTCCGTTCTTTTCGAGCGACATCTCATATGGAAGAGCATCTAAAGCTGCATCAGAACGTGTACTTATAACTGAGTTATCTTCAAAAGTGAATTTTTAAAAACAACATCTCTGAAAAAACGTCTGTTCAAAAACACGTTTTTTCCGAGTTTTTCTAATTTTTTGAAGCCGCTTATCACTTCACCAAAGATTTGGTACCGGGATCTGGTAGAGAATCCAATTCTCTACAAGATAGGCTGTCTTTCAATTTTTATTTATTTTTTTGTAAATAGATCAAAATTTAATTGAGAAAATTCTGTTCTCAACGGGTAATAAATAACATTGTATAGATAATATGGCAGATACATATGATATGGATGTTTATCGTCTAGGGTAGGCTCAAATTTTCACCCCAACTGGTCCCGAGAGCGAATTGAAAGACGTTTTTTTTTATTTGTTTATGATAATAAGCGCTATAGGTTTTCGTACTAGATTTGAATTCTATAGTAGTTTGATAACTATCTAATGCTTTACTGGTTCGAACGAAATCAAGATGTGACAGAGTATTATATGCAGGGGGGAAACTGCGGAGTTTATAGACCTGAGCGGACTTTAAAGTCCTCTCAGATCTTCTAAATTCCCAAAGTCCGCCAAAGTCCCGTCAAGTCCTCCGAAGTACGCTAAAGTCTGGTCAAGTTCCGTTCAAGTCCAATTAAGCCTCGAAACATCCAGTGTGACACAACGGCGTATTTCTTTGAGTATCACGATTATTTATTCGTAAAAGTGACGAGACAAATAAAAATAATAAATTTTCTGTCACCGGAACTATAACTGGAATGCTATAGAGAAAATATTTGACGTAGAGAAGTGTTGAACAGGAAATGAGTGTGATCTATTCTTTGTTGCAGGATGCATACACATATAGAAAAAAAAACGCTTTCTGCTACTTAAAGGAGGACATACATCGCACAAGGATGCAAGTTTTCTGAAACTATCAAGGGCAAAAGTTCAGACGATAGTTGAAAATGCCTTCGAGAGTGCTATGCGGGTGATGAATCAGTTGAAAGTGACCACATTGTTGGAGCAGAACAAATTGAACGAACTGAAATTGTTGAGCGTCTATTTTGATCAACACTTCATATTCACTTCACGACTCAAAGACAATTCGCAAGCAGCCGAGAGTTCTGAAAGCGAAGATCAGACAGATGATGAGACGGAGCCCAAGCAAAACTAAGTAAGCGAGAAAATCTAGCTGCAGAAGTAGCTGCAGCGCCCACTTACAGCTAGATTAACTAGATTAAAAGGTACATTTATCTAGCTGCATGCTGGTTGAAATTGTGTACTAGCTGAAACGGCCACTACATGGGCCATTTAATCGAGCAATGAATTGCCCGATTAATCGATAACAACTAGTTGTACCCAATTGAAACTAGCTTCAGTAGCTGAAGCTAGATGAAATTTTCATGTATTTCTGTGCAGCTAGCTGAAGCTAGATAAATGTACCTTTTAATCTAGATGCAGCGCCCGCTTCATGATTTTTTTTCGTGCTTGGGAGAGTGTTGATGATGATGAGAGCTCGACGACAGACAAAAGCGAAGAAAGTGACAGCGGTGACGAGAACGTGTTATCAACAGCGACTAGAAAAGATTTTCCTCGGATGCAAATCTACGACTCTATCAATCCGACGTTGGCAAACACATTTTTTCAGATAAAGCTCGGCGACACCGAGAAATACATTCACAAACAGACCGCATGTTGGGCACTGACGGAGTCGAAGAATCGTTTGTCGTCGGATCATACAAATGCAATCAGAAAAAACATCTTAAAATACTGACTACTAAGTGTGTCATGAATGTGGCAGTGAGCGCCACTTGCGCGGACTTTGGTGACTTTAAAGTCCGGTAAAGTCTCCTTAAGTCCGGTCAAGTCCTCCCAAGCCCGCTGGACTTATCAAAGTCAGCTCAAGTCTAAAGTCCGCAGTTTCCCCCTTGATTGAAGCACAATACTCGGAAAATTTGAAAGCTGTTGCTTTTTTCTGTCGAACACTTATGACTTCTTTAGCGGACGTGAGAGAATAGATTTCAGGATCAGAATTTAGTCAGTCAATTCGCCGTGCCACCTGCCGCCGTTTAGTATACAAGTTTGTCAATAAATTCTCCCACAATCCATGTAGATTATTTCGAGCCGCAGACGTGGCTGAGAACGCGTTTAAACGCGAGATAAACAGAGACCATTAGTGAAATGCGTCTTGACGCAGTTTCTTTCAGATGAACACCACCTTATACATAATGAAGTAGTGAAGACTTCATTACGTATAAGGTGGTGTTTGTCTTATTATCTATTTTTAAATTCTTCACCTTAAAAAATGATTCAATTCTTTCAGATGAATAAAAGAAGACGCATTCCAAGGCGTCTTATGCAGATGCGTTTGATATATTCTAAGAGGAAAACGCGTTTTACCGCGTAACTGGAAATGAAACAACTTGACTACAAATCGCGTTTAGGCGTTTGTGTTGCGTAAAACTCAACCGCCTAGTTTAGAGAACTGGTCTTCCCATTCAAACACAGTGGAACAGATCCTAATATCCATTTTTTTTGTTTCATATGTTGAAAAATCATATCATCGGAACAAAAAAATAAAGCTGATTTTGAGTTGCTGAAAAATGCTTTTTTCCTATTCACCACACACGATAACCTAGTAGATTTCCTATTTTTGGCAAGGGGTACTTCCGAAAGTTTAGGGAAATTTTTCAAACTAATATTATTTTCCCATGGAAATTTTTTTGCGTCATTTTGTTTGAAAATTTCCCTAAACTTTCGGAAGTACCCCTTGCCAAAAATAGGAAATCTACTAGGTTATCGTGTGTGGTGAATAGGATAAAAGCATTTTTCAGCAACTCAAAATCAGCTTTATTTTTTTGTTCCGATGATATGAAATATATCTCAAACATGCACAATCGACGTAAATGCAAAGCTGGACGACATTTCTCTCAACAAAATGACACAGAGACTCCGTTTAGTGCTCTGTAATAGACAGAATAAGAGAAAAATTAAAAAACCGATATTAATGAACTGGAAGAATTACCCGGTGTTGCCCGGGTTCTTGAACAAAGAAGTAATTGACTGTTTTTAATGTTGTTAAAGTTTTCCTTCAATTCATGTTATCAAAGCATAAGAATTTGTTTAACAAAAATTAATAAAAGATGCAACGAACTTAAAGCTTGGTTTAGTAGAGAATGTTTTTCCACATGACTATATGTATGTACGTCGGTCACACTCATCAGTGATTATATGTACATTTTTAAATAACTCGGCTCCTGGTTGATTGATTTTAATGAAATTTTCGTGACTTATCGTAGATTTTGACCAAGAAATAGTGTGCAAAATTTCGCATTCTAGACCTTACCTTTTGGGCGTGCATTCTGAGACAGACAAATAAAATGACAAACATTGTGGAATATAGTATAGATATAGAGATTAGGATATGGGAGCTTGATCTATTTACTATTGAAAACGCTAAACCTAAAACTTGCTTTTTGTTGAATTAAGAACGTGATTCTCTGTATGGGAATGAAAACAAGAAACTGATTCAGTATTGCTTCTTCAACTATTATCGATACATACATCTCCC